CAGGATATTACCCAGTTTGCAGCTCTTATCTGTCAAAAGCAGCAGAACAGAATGAGGGCAATTAGACTTACTAGCTGGTTTACTGACCTGTAAGAATAAAAGGAATAAAAATGCCAGAGTGTGATAAAGCAGGCAACACTTGCAAAACAATAACAGGACGTGCATAATAGCATAAGAAACATCCTTAAGAAAAACATGATTTCTACTTCTGTTTTGTTAGTAAAAATATAAAGGGAGAGAGCCACCAACAGCTGTGCAGAGTAGAGCTTGCTTTTCAGGAAAATACGCAGGGCCAGATCTCGCCTCCTACATCTGCACATGTTTTCTGCTCTTCAGGCCCATGGAAACGTGCCAGGAAAATTAATTGGCAGAGGACCGTATTATCTCTTCTGCATAGTTCCCATGTAGTGTCTCAGAGAAAGAACATGCAGCTAGGGAGCTGACAGGAAAAGCAGCCTGCTGGGGAAAGCTGTCCTTGACTCCCACAGATCCCAGAGGATATGCCAGATTTCAGTGGGACATCTCCTTCTCGCTGATCTGAGGCGATCTGAAGAACTGTGTCACTGAGATTTCCTTCTATAGATGAAAAGCAGGGGATGGTTTCGGTGTTGGGGTTTTTACATCCTGTGTGAGTTCTGGGCAGAAGCATGAATTCTGAGGTAATGACAGCTTTCTTAAACTACCAAGCAAACAGGTCACTGTTTGAATGCTAGGTCATTAAGCCTGCAGCTGCCTCAGAAATACTGTAGCAGAGGATTTGAGATTGGAAAAAGGAACCAGGGACATTATGAAGTCCTGGCTTGCTCCCACACAACCCATGCCCTCCCCTGCCATTTGCCCCTCCCCTACCTTTCAGGAGCTTCCAGGCTCTTGGTACCCAGGAAGGAAGGACGTTATGTCTTTAGGAGTTGCTGATCCCCAACTTTCATATATTATGAACAGAAAGCTATGATCCGGCCTGCTGATTTACAGAAGAGATGTCAGACTACTGTCCTCTCAGTTTCCCATTAAGTAATCCGCATCCTTCTTCTTCTTGCCCAGTGGAAAATCCCACAAAGTAGGAAAAAACATTCTGCAGTTTGCATTGATAAATTACTGAAAAGTGCCTCTCCAGTCTGGGTCTGCAAGGCATGTAGAAGGGTCAGAGCCTTCAAATCCTCGGCCCCAGATCTTGGGGGAATTCTGCATCACTTCCATTAAGAGTCAGTGGAGTCCTCTCCCCTCCTCCACCATTTCCTGCTCCCTCAGCTGTCTGTACCACTCCTGCAGCACAGCTCAGTAAGAAACTGTACTGCTGTTAGCTCCCTCCCATATGGCTATGCACTAATCCCCCCTCCTACACGTTCATGCAAAGTGGGGAGAAACTATAGATATAGAAGAAATCCTTTACCGAGCAGCCGCCTGCTATCTAGGTTACATCTGGCAATTAAAAGGTGCAAAAGAATCATGCTAAGCAGCACTACCGCTTTCCTCCCTCTTCCTTGCAACATCTGCAGAGCTTCCAAGTATCCTGAATTTGCAAACCTAGATTCTGCGGGGAGTATTAAAAATGGGAGAGAGCATGTAATCACCTTTCTTCTCCATTTACAATCTCAAAGTATTTTCCACATGATTTTTAATTATTGGTTTTGCTCCCTTTGTCTGTTTGGTCAAAGAAGAATCAACCCTGGAATTTACCGAAAGATGAAGGGATAGGAAAAAGAAAAAACGGTGAAATTGTTTCAGGCAGTAACTTTCTGTGAAAAAACCCTCTGCCCCTGTCTATTTACATGGATGCTTTTTTTTTGCATCCTAAGAAAGCATGTCAAGAAACATGCCATTTGTCAGGAGCTTGCGATAGCAGGCTGTCAGCTCACTGCCTAGCAACTCGCACTACATCGGGATATCCTGGCGTTACACACACTGCCACATTGCATTGCTTAGCACTCACTGCCTTGAACTATCTCACTTGCTGCTCTGTTACACCAGGGTCCTCGCTTGGGAGACACTGAGCTGCCTTTCTGTCGGCTGGCCCAACGAGCTCAGGTAATGGCATCAGTAGGAAAAACAATATAAGGGTTTATCTAGGTATCAGATCTACTAAACCACCAAAGTCACAATGGGTTTACATAGGATTTCACATTAAATAGAAACTCAGCATCGGCATAGCATGGACATCAGGCTCCTTGAAATGTCAGCAAGCATTTTGAAACTTATTTCTCACAGACAATTAGGAAAATAAAGCTATGATCTTCAAAGTAGAAAAACAAAGCAAGACAAAACATATAAATAAAACTTTTTTTTTTTTTTTTTTTTTTTTTTTTTAACTTTACCTACACAACAGCAGCTTGGTTGTGTGATTTGGTGATTAAGTGAGGAGAATAACATTTAGACTGAAGTGCCTGGGTAGAAAATCTGAGCTTCTAGCCTCAACAGTGACAGCAAGTCACATGGGATTTAGGCTCTCCGATGACTGTCATCTTGCAGGTGATGCCTTCCCCTCCCAGGGCATTCTGTTCCCCAAAACTTCTGTTGTAATACAGAGGAACAGGAGGGACAAAACTGAGGATCACAATCCCATATTATTTAAAAACCATTAAGAACACAAAAAAAATGCCTTGACTTCAACTAAGTAAATAACAGCCAGACCTCAGAGGTCACAAGAATGCTGATTTTGCAGTTGAAGGTCTTTGAAAAATCCACTGTGCTGTTTTCAACACAGCTGTGTTAGGGCCTTGGATTCCCACAATACAAGCATTTCAATGAGATTTTTAACTGTGACAAACAGCTAATGCTTTTTCTTTTTTTTTTCTCTCATGTCTGTAGGTCTAGGTCAGGGGTTCTGAACCATGGTATTTAATATAATACTGAAGATATGACAAGTAAAAAGCATAATACATGATAATACAGAGGTCTTCTCTCAACTGCCTCTTTCACAAAACATGAAAATCAAGAAATACACTCTAAGCTTTTGGCTTTTATGTATGTATACAGCTCAGAATTGTCTCAGCTCATGTACCTTTTCAATTGCTTGCACGTTCCTATAAAAATATGCAGAACGTTTCAAAAATGCAAGTCTTGATGCAATCATTGTAGCTAAGGATGTTATTGCGTACCAAAACTGGAAAACAAATCTCCAGTGAGAGGAGTCTGACAGAGGAAAAAAACAAAACAACACAGCCAAAACCAATACATGATTATGGTGTAGAGCAGTCCGAATGCGCAGGAGGTGAGCGTTTAGAGCAGAAGAGCCAAGCAGTCACTGAAACCACTCCGCTGATCACCTCAGTCCCAAACAGGGATTTTGCTGTTACAGCATAACTGGCTCCACGTACATACTAGATACGTAGAACCAGACAGAAGAGGCAAACTGATCTAGTTAATGCCCACAAAGGTCTATGAATGACACTCAGATGTGATCAGTAATTTTTCATCACTAAAAAATTAAAGCTCCTCCCAAAGAACACATGAAATCATTCTCAGTGAGTCTCATTCATGCTTCTGCTAGCGTGTGCATCTGGAGCAGTATCAGTAGTGATCACAGCATAAAGTATCTGAATAAGTGGCAAATCCTGTGCATCAGAGCAGAAGATTGTCTGAAATATGCTTCTCCATTGTACCTAACATAGTATATACTGCAACGGGACATCGAAAGCTAGATGATTTCTCTAGGATCCCAAAGCCCATAGAATCTAAACTGGAAGAAATTCTATTCCCCATTAGTCCTTTTGGGATTACCCAAATATATACAGAAACTCTTACTTATTTTCTCAATAAGCATTTGATATTCTTGGAACATTACCAGCTCTGTAAATTCTACATTTCGCATTACTTTCCTGAAGCCTACTTATCCTAGAGTATGCTAAAAGCATTTGCACAGATGCAGGAAATTATTACTGTAAGTGTGATTCCTGTGCTTAACCTTGACTAGAAAATATGGCAAATGCAGTAGTGCGTGTTCTGTAGTCTTTGGAGCATGCCACATTTAACACTCCATTACTTACCTGATTTTTTATTGCAATACTTCTAGACAAAAACTAATGTTAATCATTGCATCCTCCTCTCAGTACATTGCAAGTACATTCATATAAGCAGCACTCATATGATATGTGTTGTGGCACTTCTGGAAGACACACATGGACATACACACACACCACCACTTGCAGTTCACTCTGTAAGCTGTCACCAACATGTTATTTTTATCAGCTTTATTTGCAACTAGGGATGGGGAGGTACAAATAAGGAAGGCAGATATACTCGAAACACTCAAATAAAAAACGAAGGATTATCCAGGACAATGTATAACCATTTGCCAGAAAATAAATGCAGAGAGTACTTGGACTCTAAACAAAACCGTCTCACAGATCACTCATCATCATTGTGCTGACCCAATTAATTTTCCAGTTCCATACAAGTTGCTAGTTTTTGAGCTTGTTCGTTAAACGGGTCAACCCACATTGGTACATCTCAAATTTGATGCAGCATTTCCATCATGCTGTCCTTCCCTCCAGTCTCCCCTTCCCTGCTCAGAGAAGCAGGCTGGGCACTGAGAAGGGGTTTTCTGCCTCAGAACAGCTGGGCATCGCAGCGCCTTGCTGCTAAGACCCAAACACAGCAAAGTGCAGTGGCTGCTTGGTGTGCCTGTTTGGACACCCCCCAGGCTCACCCCACAGGACTGCCACGGTGCCCAGTCCATCCCCCCAGAGGGCGGATGGGCCTGCCAGCATAACTTGACTCCCTGTGCAGCAGACAGCAGATTGGACCCCAGGAGCAAATCACAGCTGGTTTAGCTGCAGCGGGCCCAGGGGATCTGCAGAATGCAGCAGCACTCCAGCCATGCCCTTTTCTCTGCCTGCCCTTCCCTGTGTTGGGGGAGAGATAAGGTAATTCACAGCTGTCTACACATCTGTACCGCTTCCAGGGCTCTCTGACAGCTGGGAAATCCTTTTACGGCCACACAGCTTTCGAACCTGTTGGCGTTGTCCTGCAGTGCTGGGGGTCTCAGGGCAGGGTTACCTCTGCCGAGCTCCAGTTCTCACTGCTCGCCTGTCCAGGTGGCTGGCTGCTAGCCTGGCTGCAAATGGGAAACATCTACACACGATGACAAAGAACCAGGGCTGGGATATCTCTGTGGTCTGGAAAGCAATGTGACTCTGCTTATGACTGGCACAGGAATGACAGCACCAGCCTGTGCTAAAGTGCTGTGCTAGTGTTTAAGAGATCAGACGAAGCTTTATTCCTGAGCACAGGCTAATGTGTAAACACCAAGCTTTGGAGGCAAGCCTGGGCTTAAATGCATGCCCAGACCTGTGCTTAACAGAGTGCAAGCCCAGCTATGTGACTCCAGCAGGGTCAGGATGCGGCTATTAAGACTACCAACCTCCCCTGTGAAAACAGCCAACAACCTCTAGCTTCTTATTTTAGTGTTACCTAACAGAAATAGGCAGCATACGCCTTTGACAGCCTCTGAAGCTTTTGTTTTGTGAAGCTATACAATTTTCCAGGATTACCACACAGTGTCATCAGGGAAGAGGAATACAAATATCCTTAAGTCATGCAACAGTAAGGACCCAAACTCCTTGCTGTTTTACCAAGCAAGCTCACAACTGAAGTCTTGTGCCCTTGCTTACTCCAACTGTTCACATGCTTAACAGCTCAGATTTAGAAGGAATTCCCTACATTTTTTCTTCCACTCTCTGAGTGCCTCATCTAGCTCAGGTTTCAGAGATAACTGACTCTTAAGAGATTTCCCAGGAACCGTTCAGTTCTTGAAGAATCCAGACAACTGGGACAACACCATGTTTAACCTAGCGAGAAGGGAACAGAGTGGATTTTATACTATGTGGGTCACTCCTGTGAGATTCCCAGTTTGGATTAACCCAGATTTCAATGATTGCTTTCTTATTACAGAGGAAAGTAAGTGCAATTCATGAATAATAGTAACAAAAAGTGCTCTATCTAATTTCTCCTGTATATTCAAATCAAATAAAAGCTTCACAAAGTTTAGGTTCAGATAGCTGGGATCCATAAAGACAGAAAAACAACAAAGCATCCCTAAACCTGATCCAGAAGTAGTCTTCCCTGGAGTTTCGTCCATCATTGCTTGGCTCAAAATCATGGCAGGTGGTGGGTTCGACAGCTTCTGACAGGGGATAACCTCTGTTAGAAGCACAAGGATTTCTTAATTGCATAAGTCTTTTCTGGAAAATAAACTATAAATGTTTTAAACAAAAAGTAGATAAAAATTGAAGATGGAAATACAGAATCATAACACAGCAAGATTAGCCCTTAACCCACAGGATCCTATTAGTCCCTTTTTAACTCTGCTATGCAAGTGCAATTACAAATAGCCTCAGAAGATGTGCAGAGGCTCAAGGAACAAAATGGATTTTTGATCTGCAAAAAAAGGATTTTTGTTTGGCTAGTTCTGTATTTGCTATGCACTTTAATCTGGGCCCATTGCTTATAGGAGATAAATGTAATTTCATATAAAGCTGCATAAACTAAATAATGTCTGTGTTTGTACAGAGGACTTATCTGTTCACTGATGTGAAATGAAATGAACAATTTGTCATTACCTACTTGCTGATTATTTTTTTTTTTACATTTTAGAACACGTAAACAGAGCGCACTTGTTTATCCAACCTGCGATAATGCCAGAAGTCACCTCCCTCATGTAAGACGTCTGAATTGCTGGCCGTGTGCCCTTTATGTGAGAAAGAGAACAACCCAAAAAATACCAGTAGGAGAGATGAGAGAGGAATTTGATGAGATGGGTTTTCTAGAAGTGATAAGGCTGTAAGATGGATAATACTTCAGTACTATTTTCTTGTTTACTGGGCATTTTTTAGTATCACTATTTTAAAAGCATAATTTATGTTCCTTATATATTAATGTCTTATAACTATTCACTTTTTCACCTTTCTTAACACAGGTTAAAGTTGCTAGAGGTGCTCAAAGTACCATGTGTCCTGAAAGACATCATACAATGCCACATTTCTTTTTGACACAGATCCTGCCACACAGACTTGAGGACAAACTGTGACTGCAACTGAGGCAAGGCACATAAGGCAAGCTGGGCACTGCTACGAACAGTGCACATTGAGTGGCTGCAGTAATTTCATACAGCAGGATTTAACAGGAACGAAGGGAGCTACGGTGTTTCTAGGTAAAAATGCATACCAAGATATGAAGGCAGAATGTACGGGTAGCTAAACAGAGGGAAAAGTTTACTTGCAGCAGATGTAAAAACGATCGTAACACAAGGAAAGGGATCAGGACAAGGGAGTCAGTGTCATGCCTGCCAAAAGCAAGCAATTTGCAAGTAATGCATTGCACTCACAACAAATTGGAAAGGAATTTAAGACCAAAACAAATGCATGAGCATACAGTCAGAAAATGCTCTATTTATGGTAGATAGCATTTTTGTAGCGTATTTAAAATGTTTACAAAGTAAAAAAGCAATTTTTTTTGCTCTTCAGCTATGTAAATAAATGAACAGAAACAAACTCAAATATAGCTACTGAAATGGAATGTGGAGTAATTACATTAAGGATATAAAAATATTATGGGGGGCCTACTTTAATTTTTTTTAAAAGGCCTAACGCTGTTTCAAATTGTGTGCATGTGGCAAGGCACACTCCTAAGAGCAGATGTACCTCCACAGGATTTGTAACAGCAGAACAAAAAGTCCCATATGTGCTTGGGTTAAAAAGCACTCCCCAGATAAAAATGATCAAACTGGTATACAGACCTGTCTACAAGAGAGGATGCAAGACAATAATCCTAAGGAATTTGATTAAGTGCTTAATAGTCTGCAATGCATTCAGAAGGTAATTAACATAGGTACCAGTGTATTTATTCAAACCCTATTAGCACAGAAAATTGATCTAAGGGATGAAGTTGATCAAATGCTAAAATGAGGTATCATTGTACAATATTGGTATTTCCTGGATGAATTAACCATCCAGTTCCTGTAATAAAACATCATAAAAATGTTCATAGTACCACTACAATAATGCCACCCAGCACTGAGTGCTAATTCATGGGGCCAATAAATACTGGTGAGAAACTAAAATTTGCACCCAATTCCCTTTCTAGAAACTTAAAAAAGGCATTTCAGAAGAATGCTTCCTACTGTTCAGAAAAACTATCAAGAAGCTGCAAAAGCACATATCGGCTGTGAAATACAGGAGCTTCTAATGGCTTATACTTCCCCATAGTAAAATCCAAAAGCTGCAGGAAAAAGATTTTTTTTTTTAGCAGTATGACTCAATACTATTATATCTTTCCAGAACACAAAGCAGTATGACAAACTCAAGAATGAAATATAAAATGGCTGAAACTCATTGAAGCACGGAAAAATAACTCTGGATGGAGCTGTGGATTGTACTGTTATAGGTAATGGAGCAGAGTAAAAAAAGAACCCTCCGTGATGCTCTCACCTACCCCAGGAAAGATGTCACCTCCTCTACCAGGAAAAGATGGAACAATAGGAGTTGGCCTACCTGCTTAACATGGTCTGTCTCCACACTGCATTTGTATTTGAGATCCAACTAGTCATAGTCATTGTGCCATCCCCTTTTTATTTAAAGAATAAAAGCTTACTACACTGGTACCACTCCCAACACCAGGCTTTGTTTGGCTTATTCACTCAGCATACATACAAACTTCGCATGACTGGGATGTTTTGGAATGAAAAATGTGACTTGTCAACCCTTGATCTCTATAAAACTGATGCAGATCATCAGAATATGAGTCTACTGTGTCCTGTGAGGTGCTCCCAACTACTTTGCCAGCTATGGGTGTGCTGCTCTTGTAGATATGAATGCAGAGCAAGGAAGACATGCAGCTTCTATTTTGGTAATAACTGGTTTGCTAATACGCAATTTGATAGCTTATTTTTCAGACCACAACAGTCCCACTGCCCACAAAGCTCAAAAGGAACAGTAACAAAGATCCTCTGGAAAAATCAGGAAAATAAATATCACATAAGGCAGACCAATTAATTTGTCCACTATACAGACATTCAACTGCAATACGCTGAAGAGCATACAGCACAAGCTGAATTGAGCATTTTAAGAACATAGGTGTTCAATTTTAAAAGCAGTCTTTCTTTGGCTAGAATATTAATAACGTGTTTTTATAAACAGAAGTTTTGCTTTTTAATGTTATTACTGTCATGAGGCACATGCACCCGACATTGCATCTCTTCTTTTCAACTTGGCCTCAGGTTTTAAAACGGTATTCTTAAATATAAACAATAATAACACTCCATTGAAAGCAATTTTTAAGACCTACGGGTCACACTGTCAGCCTAAAGGGAGAAGAGGGAATTAAGAACTGAAAGAGAGAAATATTCCAGTAATAAAAGCTACAGCAGAATAGATGGCAAAGCAAGTGCTGCACTCCAGCTCTTTAAAGCTGCGTGTGTCACGATCTATTCAACTGTATATCAGCACAAACTTTCTGTAGAGCTAACAGGCCCTTTGTGTCTCACAAAGTACGAGTACGTATGGGAGTATATGCCTCAAGTAGTTTCTTTTTCTTCAGTTCTGAAAGCACGGAAAAATAAATTTTGAGGAAGTGTTTTAGGATGCTTGCTCTGGAAAATTACTACCAGAAACTAAACAAATCCATGCCAGAACACAGCCCTGAAGAATTACAATATCCCTCGAGCAAATGGAGAAGACAAAGATGACCCTGCATGTCACTGCAGACTACCAACACCAGTACACAGACCAGCAGACACTTCAGCAGTGTGTTTGTGGAAAGTGTCAGCAATCGGTCAGGCCCGGAGCAGTCGTGTGTAATAAAGCTCATCTGTTATGGGTACCTACCTGTGTGGCATAGCTAGGCACAGACAGCGTTTTCTTCTTGCTAAAAATACTTTCTTCCCCTCTCTAAAATGACAAAAGTATAACTTTGCCTGACCTATTTTTCGTCCTTATTCATTCTGTGGAAATCTTGCAAAGCTGACACCTAATTTCCAGGTGCTGTTGCTTAGCTTCCTAAAATATTAATACAAGTGTAATAATTATCCCTTTTCATCATCACATAGGACAGGCAACAGATGCAAAGACTACAATCACATCAGCACCCTCCTATCTGAGGCATGTTTATGATATCAGAAGATCCCTCTACCACTGTCAATCAATAAGCTGTACTACACAGATGCGTTTTATGTCATGAGCTAATCAGATGTTATACTGGTCTAGTGTAATTGTACCTGCAGAGACCCACAGTAGAGCACAAAAATTACAGGGAAAATATGGACTAAAATCCAGAGTGTCTGATAAGGTAGCCACCATAGCTAACTGGACTCCTTTCTCAAGTGACAAGAGATAGGATGTGAAGAAATGGCCTCAGGGTGCACCAGGGGAGGTGTAGATCGGATGTTAGGAAGAATTTCTTCACACAGAGGGTGGCCAAGCACTGGAACGGGCTGCCAAGGGCAGTGTGGGAGCCCCCATCACTGGAATTATTTAAGAGGTGTGTGGATGTGGCAATCAGGGATCTGGATTAGTAATGGGACTCTACAGGTCAAGTTGATGGTTGGGCTTGATGATCTGGAAGGTCTTTTCCAGCCTAGATGATTCTATGATGATTCTCTGTTGTGGTTAGTGCATTCAAGAGTGGTGCCAGGTAGAGATAGAAGCCTTCAATGAATGGGGTGCACCACGGGTGCTGGTTCTGACATGGGTTTAGAAAGAAGAAAGGAATGAGATGAGCACAGATGTAAGACTGGTGATGGAGAGTGTCAGGGAACTACTGAGTAACAGGAAAATTTCAAACATCTTGTAAATGTTCTGGATGATTTCAAACGGGAAAACAAGGCATATTTCCATGTCACAGTATCTTCACAGCTATACTTGTACTAGCAGAGCTATGTCAGCAAGGTTTCATATTAGCAAAGAGCTTTTCTGCTGACTGAACCGTCCCATCTCTCAAATCCAATGAAAGACATCCTCAACTAGCTTTTTTGGCTGAGTGGACTGATGATTTTCTGACTCACCATTGTCCATCAGCGTCTGCCAGCTGTGAGTTACCCAGCTGGGCCCACAAAGGAAATTCTGTGAGTGTTTTCATGTTCTTTGACCAAAGCTGCTAAACATTTTCATCATCACTTTAAATCACTCCACTGGACATTGCCTGAAGCGGGCTAGGGCACAGTACCTTCTGCTTGCAAATGAAAGGGGCTGCAGCCTCCATGTGAAGAGCAATAACAAGCCTCAAGTGGGCAGTATGTTCTTCCATAGTCACACCTGTTTGCAGTATAAGTGTCTTTTTGTGGCCTGAACAACATGAATAGAGGTAACAAAAGCATGTGCTGGTCAACAGTGGTACATCTACACCTGTAACTTCTTCTCACACAGTTATGCCATCAGCCCTTTGTAGTACCAAAGCTTGAAGCCACGGCCCCTGCTGCATTTGGCTGTTATCTGCTGAAGAGGTTTTTGCTCTCAGAGCTGTGGGGCATAGAGATGTTCAGCCACCATAAATACAACCAACAGGGATCATTAAATGGAGCTCCTCACTAGGGGAATTCACATCTCAGGAAGCTCAGCTCACTGGTGTTATAAGCTGCTTGCCCACGGGGGTGATCTGTGGCAGCCACAGGACAGAAAACCCGGCGGGCTGCCTTTGCTGTACATCAGCCACCTAGGAGAGGGGCAATGAGGGCAGGTGGGAGCCAGAAACCTCTTAAATTGCTATTGTACACATAGCCAGATTTCAAGAGACTAGGCACTAGTCCGATCCAGCTGTGGGAAAAGCAGGCATTTAGCAAAACACGGAGCAGATAAATCAGAATGAGATACAGGGAGCCTGGCTGCAGGTTGAAAACAGGGCACTGGAGCCCAGCTAAGCGGGACGGGACAAAGACCAAGTAATGAGCACCAAGTGATCTGGACAACTGCTTTCACCCTCCTGCTGCCCTGTCCATCTGTTGGGAACTCGGTTTCAAAACAAGTCCTATTTCCCTTATGTCTGACTCCAAACTCCCATCTTGTGGATCTGCTGCTGTCACTCACAATCATTTACAACAGAAAAGCTGAACTGAGAAACAAGGAAAACTTATTTAACACACACATTCTTCACCCTGATCCATTTCTTCCACCTATTTTCCCTTCACTCGTTCAGGTTTGAGTCTTACGGCTGGTTTACTGTAGCCATTTAAAGACAATGAGGATTTTATATGACTGCCTAAGCACTACAAATTCATACCAAGTCCTGGCGGTGTCTGACATTTCAGCCCAAACAACCGCACGCTGTTGGAGAATCCCCCCCCCAGCCCCCGTGAAGCACACTCACTGACCTCCCCTTCCAGCAGAACTGAGGTCAGCAGGATAACGAGCTCTCCAGATCGATCTGCAAACAGCCTGATTCACAGTTTTTCTCTACGAAAGAGGAGGAAGTTATGAAAGGAGCAGCTTGGACAAAAAGGGCTTCAGCTCCACCCAGTGGTAATGAAAAGCTTTTCACGCCATCCCTCTGGGTACCTGCTCTGGCCTCTCTCAGCTGAGGTACTGGAGGGAGAGCTCTGCTCACCTGCTGCTACTACAGCATGAGCTGCCACAGGCCTGAGCAGTTATCTTGCCTTGCTTGCCTGGGCCTTCAAATCTGGGGTTTAATCGTTGCTCCGATTCTCTACATCAGCCATCGCTGTCCTCTTTGGTATCCGCAAATTTTGAACGGGGACCAGCCATCTCCCAAATTGCCAGCTGGCTGGGCGAGCACCATGACCCCACATGGGCCTCTTCTCTCACAGCAGTGATTTTATGGCGTGAAACTGCTCTTTTCTATCATCTATGCATGCATTTTTACTTTTTTTTTTTTTTTTTTTTTTTTTTTTTTTTTCCCCTGATGAGGTACCACCTTCTGACATAACTCTCAAAACCACTTTCAGAACTGGGGATACTTTTAAGGCAGGTTTTTCTCATCTGAGTTTTCAAGAACAGAACGGCTCTCTAAATGAATGCTACACTTCGAATGACAGGGACCTTGAGAAATTTAAAGCCAGCTGCAGCTCTGTTAGTTGGCCAATAATTAAATAGTTCGCATCTGACCTAATTAATGCTCAAATACACATCAGCAACTCTCAGGCACTAGGGCATAAATTTGTGACAACGTGAAGGTCAGGCACATACCCTCACCTCATCCACCCCCAAAAACTTCAGTATTGCCATCAGTTAGATGCATTATGCTTTTTGGCCAGCATTGAAGCATCAATTTGTGACCTTTGGGAGGAGGTTCCAGACTAGATGGACTATGTATAGTTGTCAAACTATGAAAACCTTTATCCTATTTCTCATCACTTTTCTTGTTCTTCCTACCTGCCCCAGGTATTCTTTCTGAATCTTTTGAATGGTGTGTCTGATATTTACCATTTTATTACCCCCACGTAAGTATCATTACTGTGGTTACATTTACATCTCAAAGTATTGAGCCTGTACCATTTATCCATGGGGTTTGAGATCATAATTAGACGCGGTGCCTAATTTTCAGCTAAATAGCTCAAAACATATGCAAAGTCAGAAATATATTTTAAATCAATGTGCTGTATGTAAGCAAAATTGTCCTTTTTTCCTGTCTGAAAAGCTTCTATTCACTTCATACATTCTCTCGTGCTAGTTATCTCTCACCTATATACAGATGCCCATACTTATTTTCATGTTAATAACACTTTCCACCACAAAACTGGTGTGATATTTTTAGCTATCAAACTATATCACATTCAGCAACTAAGGTTTGAAAATGATATACAAACAACATAAAAAAACAGCCAGCCTTTTTTCTCCCACACAAAATCTAATTTATAAAACCCATATTTCACTTGGTTTTATAGCAGCTATTTTATCTTTCAGCTCATCAGTGACTAAACCAGATAAAGCTAGTTTTATACGTGGTAACAATTTGTACAGTGCATTGAGGAAGGCATTATTGTGGTTTTACTTACAGGACAAAGGGAAGTGGCTAATTCACAGAGGCTGCAGCACACTGGATATGAATGGCAGTCTACCAAGGGGCAGGAATCTGGAAAACAGGGGCGTTGTGCAGGGCAGGTGAAATGAGGCTTCCTGAGGAAACCTGGAAGAGAAGGTTGTGCTCTGGCTGCAGCCAAGGAGCCCCTGTCCCCACATTGCTTCTGTTACTGGAAACACAACAAGGAAGAGTCAGAATTTCCTTGCTTTGAATTCAGCAGGCATTTTGTCATCAAAATACCTCCAAATTTGACCCCTCGTTAGTACACTGTCTGTAGCACTGAGGGAATCTGGGAAGCCCTGCGCTTTGAAATAACACACAGTCCTCAAAGAAATCTGTCTTCATTGCCTATGCAGCCTGATTTTTTCAGCTCACACTTGAAATCTGAGGCCCTGCTATGCGACACCACGCTGTCAATAGCGTCTTCCACCCTCGCGCAGACAGGACATATTGCTAGGCAAGCGTCTCTCATTTCTCACAGCTACAGTCGCGTATGCAACAAGGCCAAGAGAGACAGCTTAAAAGTACTGAAAATACCTTTCGGGGGCGATTCCATACGTTGTCCTTGGAGCCCCTGCCCCTGCTGAATCCGGTCACCACCTGCTGGGGTGCGACGCCCTGCACCTGACCGAGCTGGGGTGGCCAGGCAATCAGCAACTGGAATATTGCCGGGGGGAATTGGATGGGTTCCTTCTCACCCATCCCTCTCCGCTTCTGCATAATTTAGAGGCAGCATATTTTGAAACAGCCCTAACCCTAACCTTTCTCTGCAGATATAATCAATTGCCCATCAATCTTGGGAGAAAGAAAACCCAAGACCACGTTCTGCATGCTAATTGAACGTCTGGAGCGTACTGTGAGCAAAGCCAGCAGCATCTCTGATGAAATGTAACCCCATCCTCCTTCAGTCTGTGTTCATCTGCCTACTTTTTGAGTAGTGGTATTGGTGCGTTACGAGATTCTCATCAGTTCAGAGTATTTTTATAATGCAGGGATTTTATTTTATTTTATTTTTAAATGGAAGTTGTTTTTTTCCACATCATATAGGGGGAGCAAAAGCCATCAGAGATACAGCATGCAAATTTCTAAGAAAAAGGATTCTCTTTACAGCCATTTGATTTGTTTGTTTTTGTTTTGCTTTTTTTTTTTTTTTCAGTCTTCCTTTTCTGTGTCATATAGCAAAGCCAGAAGATAAATATTATCTTTCCTGCTCTTCTGTCACTAGCACAGGCTCTTTCTTTCTGGCCTTTGATTAGGTCTTTGGCCTAATACAGCCTGATGACATAGCTCCAAATATTCCTTTAAGTCTCAGGAGAGTTTTCAGGGAGAAATTTGCCACCCCTCACCTTTCAAAGATTACCAAAACCACGGGTCATATTTCACTTCTGTTCTTCCAGGTAGATTAAGCCCTGGATAGAAACAAGCGTCAGGCTGCTGAACAGATTACTATTAGACCACAACAAACAAACAAGAAAGAAAACCAGGCTTTTACCAAAGTCAGCAGTAAAGCTGAGGGGCAGAAATGCTTTGATATTTTCATGAAACATTAACCTTCAAACATAATTACTACAGCGCACTGAAATTGCAGCTGAAGGCTGCACTGTTGGGGAGCACTGCGGTAAAACTGGCCTGCAGGGCATGAACAGTGGCAGGTAAACAAAAGTAGTATCTGTGCAGAGATAATGGGATATGGGTCAAAGCATAAAAAGCGTAGCTTTAGGGGATGGAAGTGCTGTTACTGACAGGAGATTTTTGCCACTTTCCACATACCAGCAGAGGTGATGATGACTTGTTTGACATTGCATGAACAGTGATCTTTGAAGACAGACAATACCAAAACA